GTCCTCTCGTCGGCCACGTCCTGGTCCAGCAGCACGGTGGCACTCTGGATCTGGGGCCCGCTGAAGGCCAGCCCCACCACCCCACAGGCGTCCCCGGGCTGGGCGTGGGCACTGCAAGGCAACACAACAGGCAGCGGGTGAGAGAGCGTGCCGGGAGATCACTGCCCGCCCACTGACTGCTGCTGCTGCACCGGGGGGGCTTCACAGGAGACAGCACTCAGGAGATTCTGACACCACCCACAGGTGAAAAACAAACCAGAGCCTTAGCGTTCCAGCAACTCTTCTTTTTTTTAGCAACCTTTCCCAAGGAAAAGCTTCCACATCATCCATTACTGGGGATTCAAGCATAAACTTACTGTTTCACATTCAGCAGGTTGTGTATGTCACAGCTCTGCAATTTCAACTCAACTATTAGTTGAACTTAAGGCAAGCAAATAGACTCATCATTTACACATCAAACCAGGGCAGCTGGGAATCTCCTTTTCAGTGAGTTTCTCCTAGTTGGGTTTCCAGAATCCGGTTCGTAACACTGCCGTACAAAACTTCCAGCTTTTCTGGCTACATGACAGTGTAGCACTTGTGGCATTTTTCTCTTAAAGAAATTATCATTTTACTACTGTTAAAGGGCATTTCTAATACAACTAGAAGGCTACAGTGTTTCTCCCATTTTAAATAATTTTTAACATTCACCTTGAAAAAGATACCTACTTCTCAGAGGTCAGTGATGTAAAGCTCTCCACTTGTCCCCCAGCCAGGATGATACTTTTCTCATTCAGTGGATTGACTATTTGATGAAGAAATCGAGTAGCTCCAGACTTCCAGGAGTTGTAGCCAAACAGAAGGACAACGCGGAGATCTGGGTTATTCTTCAGACCTACAAACAAAAAACCAAACACTGATCCTCTGTTCTGTTTAAATCCTGAGCCCTGAAGCCCAGCCTTCCTAGTCTCTCCTCAAATAATAAATCACGCCTTTAGTAATGGCTTTCTGTTGCTGCAATTGGGAAGAAAAGACACAACTTGCCCAGGGAGTAACTGGGCAAGAGGGAGAGAGAATTTCTGGAAAGAACCTTGCCAAGTTAGAAACAGATTGCGTCTGCTTCCTCCAGCTTTCCACTCCTTTACCGCAGCACGTGAGTTTTACCACAGCTCTTCAGTTTTCCTTGACAGTCTTACAGGTAAGAACCAGGCATACAAGTTATTCAAGAACCATAATACAGTAAATAGCTTTAATCTGAAAATTAAAGAAATTCCACACTTCAGCACAGAAGCTGCTAGTTCCACACATCACTCCGGACTGGCACCTCAAAGAGCAGCACAGCACGGCACAAAAACCCCCAGCAAAGGAGAGAGAAAGGACATACCTGCTTCAGCAAATTTATTCTCATCAAACACCCTGTTCTTCACGTCTTTAGAAAAATGAAAGGTGTGAATTTTCACCCCATCGATTTTGGGAAACAACAGAGCAAACCCAGCTTCGCCCTCTTCGATTTCTTGAGGCTGGTTGCTGCTTGAACCCATGGGGGTAACTACAAAGACACAAAACCAGGCATCTTGTGGTCAGGGCCCCTAATACTTTCATCTACACTGTGACGAGAATTGAAAGAGGCTGAACAGCTCAGGTGATGTAAAACATGACAATCTATTTCCATAACAGCTTCTCTAATTGAAAACTGGTGCGATTTTTTGGGTTTTTTTATAATGTTTTGGAAAGATGAAACATGTAGAAGTTCTGCTGGCTACGGCTTGTGCCGAAGTCACTTCGGACAAGGAGACATGGATATATTTGGACATTTCCCCACAGTTACACCAAATATAAAACAGTAGGAAAACAAGCACAGTCAGTCAAAATATGACTGAAATAGATACATGAATCCAAGAAACATTCAGTAAGTCCATTAGTGCCAGGAAAAGCTGCCTGCCCGATTAAATCAATCCTTTTAATTATAACTGCAATACACGAAGTAAACACCATGTGTCAATGAGCAGCAACACTGTGAACTCCTTAAAACTGAAGCCAGGTGGGAGAAGATCTCTCCAAGCTGATCTCTCACAAAAAAAAAAAATCACACATTTTGCTCCTACCTACAACCCCTGGGGTGACCAGTCCAAGAACCTGACATCGCTTCGGCAACAACTTTTCAAGGGCGAGGGCTGTTTCTTTACTGTTTCTTTTTCTGGCTGTTAAAATAAGAAAAAGTGACAAGAAACCATCAGAGAGAAGTAAAAGCGTGTCGTGAGCACAAACCCCGTCCTGCCGAGCCAGTGCTGCCCATCAGAGGCCGCCCTGGTAACAGCACACAGGTCTGAGCTGTGTTTGGGCTCAGTGTCCTCCAGGGCAGGGAAAGGAGCCCATCTGTGCACGTTAACACACACCCACAGGCTACTTCACATCACAAACGCAAGACTCGGGGGTCATGCTTTTGGCAAAAGATGTACTTCCCGCTGAAATCCACACTCGGCAGATTCCCTTTCAGCCGATGCTGCTCCTCCTCCTCCACCCCGAGCACTTCTGGAAAGGGCAGCGAGTTCAGGGCAAGGTGTTACCTTTCTTCTGCTCGTGACACTCCTCGTGCCCGCTGAACGTCTCGGCATCGGCGATGTAGAGCACGGTCTGGGGCAGCACATGCACCTTCTGCGGAGACACGGGGCAAGGAGTGCAGGGACAGGGAGGGAGGAACAGCGGCGGCACAAACTGAGGAGACACCGCTCCCAGGGGACACGGCCCCGGCCCCCGTGCCGAGCTCCCGTCAGACAACAGGACACCTCCCGAAGCACCAGCACTGCCCGGACTGATCTGCTGAACGGGCAGCACGGCCACGGAACCGACCCAAACCCCACACGAGCGACCACAGCTCTGCAGCCTGGCCCCACAACTGCTGGTTTTAACACTATCTAAACTCCTTCCATTCCTGGCTGTTGTCTTCCCTCAGTGCTGATGCTGGGAACAGTGGGGAGGTGCTGCTGGCCTTTCCAGTCCCCGCTGGTTTAACACTCATCTGCTGAGGTCTCTGTTTAGTGCTTAACAACTTGACAGGAGTCTTTCTGTGGTGAAGATCTAGCACTAGTTAACACTGGAAAAGAATCCTGCCAGAGAAATCCTGCAATGTTCCCAGTGTCTCCCAGGCTAAAAAAGGGTTTATCTCTTAACGAGATCGCCGAGATGAACAGACGCGCCCTGACCTGGAAACCCGCGGCGTTTCCATCAATGTATTAAATAACACACAGCACCAAACTGTCCCTCCGAACACGCTCCCTGCGCCGGGCGCCTGGGAGGGGCGGGGGGAGCGTTTCAGGGACTGCACGAGGGCGCTGACAGACACCCCCCTACACACACACACACAACGCCCCCCCAACGCTCCCCTCACACACACCCAACCGCCCACCCCACACACACAACTCTCCCCC